TCATAGTTATTGTGTTTACAAATCGTTAACGAGTGAGCACAACTCGAGTTTATATGAAATACCATATGGGGCCAATAATTGGTAAAAATCTTGAATAATGTTGTATTTTATAAATTTAAAAAAAACGCATTACACACATGCAAAGAAATTTATGTGTATTCAATTACATATAATATAAAAAATGTTAACAAACGAGTTTTCAGTTCAAAATTTTAGCAAATTTCGCTCTAACTAAAAAAAAATATCAAAAAATGTTTGTAAATTAGGTTATAAACAATATTTTGTAACTATTTTTATTAAAAAATTAGTATTTTTTTCACTAAAACTAATGCAATTTCAATCAAGTACATAAAAAAACAGCCAAGATATTATATTTCCCGACCTCGGGTGTTTTTGAGATTCTGGTGTGCCCTCGATAGGAAAAATATAGGATTCACCACATAAGTTCCATCGCTTCGCGGCTACCTTACGTCCCTTGATCTTTGCGTCGCAGGTCCCTCGGGATACAGAATAGCCCCGGAAACGACGGCACTTATCCAGTGAAAACTACTAATGCTTATAATGCAACATCGTTTTTTGCGATTCAAAGAAAAAAAAAATTTTTTTTCAAGTCTTCTTTTAAAAATCATAATAAAGACTAAATGGCGTATGTTGTACAAAACTAAAGACAAATAATTACCTTTTGCAATGTTTCCATCTGTCACTTTAAATTTAAAAGCTTATTCGACCAATAACCAAACGATATTTTGCAACGGATTCAAAAGGATTTTTTTTTGCTTCTCATAAGATTTTGCTACGTGTAAAAGAAGTTGAGACTCAAGCAAAAAATTGAAAAACAAAATTTATTCTCTTAATGAAATTCCAATAAACAAATGCAGTTGGCAATTATTAAGTGCCAAGACTATTTTTCCCGTACTTCTAAGAAAATTTTCGAGAGGTATTTCGATTTTCAACCAAGTCAGAATTTGTCGGTAAAATTAATTGAATATTTCCTTAAGCACTAAACTACCACAGCCAATTTATTGATATAACGCACATCTACTTTTTTAACGTTTTTTGTTATTGTTAACCATATTTTAAATACAATTTTTTATGTCACATCAGAATCATTTACAAGTATTGGCAATTCATACAGTTGACTTATTTCACTCTACTTCTTCAGATATTTATATAGTATGGTAGTTTTCGTCGAATGAGTGCCATCGTCTTTAGGACCATTTTGTGTCCTGAGAACCTGCGAAGCAGGGCCCCTGGGATGTAAGGTAGCCGCAGTGCGATGGCGCTTATGTGGCAAATCCTTTTTCCTATCTAGGGCACACCAGCCTCTTAAAAACGCCTGAGGACGAAAATTTTTATTTTTTTATTTTATACCAGTCAAATTATTCTTCAAGATTAACTATAGTATAAATTCAAATGTAATGATCCTTTATTTTTGTAAATAAAGTATGAAACAAACGTAATAAATTTTTTTCCTATCATCCCAGGTTTTTATGAAACTAAGACGATGCTAGTTGCATAGATACGCCTGCTTAATCCTTTTATTTATATATTTTCTACATAATAATCGTGTGATTCCTGAAGCGTAAAGAAAAGTTTTTTAACAACTCCGAGACAAGAAAATTTTTTCACGTAAGCTTGCGTCTGGTATACATTCAAATAATCTTATGGTCATCTACAGCTTAGTCAGATACTATTGTATAATAGTAAAAAGTCCATTATACGATAACAAGTGATTAAGGCACGGTATAGCGAACGGTGAACATTGCTATGAACGAGATTTGTAATGCTTAAAGTCATAGGCAAATCAATATAGTACAAAAGTAAAATAATACTCAAGTCATATGATACAAACAATCATTCAATTCAATGTAGCGTTCAACTTAAATAAAAATTATAAGCCCTCAACAATTACAAAAAAATATTTATTGAAAGTTTATTTGTCACTTCCTAAACACATACTGTGTTGTAACAGTGTTAAAAGTCTCAAAATCTTTTCATAGCATGAATGATATGGGCAAGATTTTATGTGAGTGTTTATAATATTTTCAGAGTAACAGTATATAAATTTGTAAAATACTATAACAATATTATAATAAATATCATATGGGTTTATTCGTTCGTTTTCTTTTTATTTTGCCTCTATACTTTGTCAATCAGGATTAGCTTAATAACCCCGTACTATAGTAAACAAAAATAAAAGTGTGCTCCTTCTTCTTGACAAAAATATAAGGACAAAAAGTCCCTTTCTTATAAGCAACCATTAGATATCATATATCATGTTTGAATAATAATTAAATGATCAAGGTATATATAGCAGTGTGCTTCATGTACATTATTTGATTATCCGTTGCACAACAGAAACCTTTATGTTGCAAGTAGAAACTGTCAAATTCTCTTTCATTTTATACGATCTAATTACATCGTATTGAAATGATACGTTATAAAGGCATTGTTTTATAAATTAGAATTCTTGAGGAAAGGAAATCATATTATCAATAAGTTATTTAGTTTGAATCAACGTGAACAAAATACTTTATATACTTTCTTAAAGGTTATTAAGTTTTATTAAAAGAAAATATATAACAACGGACGACTTACGTCATTGTCAATTATACAAACAATGTTAGGTGGGTGAAATAAAACTAAAATGTTTCCTAATTGGGTCATTCCAAAAATAATATTTAAACTTTTATAGATAATAATTTTTCATCGGTATTCTAGATTCTTAATTTACTGAAGAAATATTATGTCTAAACTACATAAAAAATCGATGTTTCTAATTATTTAATTGCAGTCTTGTCTATAAATGCTTTTACTTAAGTTTTTTTTGTAGCTACCATGTTTTATACACACAAAATAACTCTAAACCTGTGAAACCATTTACAGCAAAAAAATTAAGAACAAATTTTATACAATATTCATCTGGTATACCTGATATTTTTCATCATGAGTATTTTTGTATTAGACTCTTGAACATAAAGCATCGATTAAAGTGTAGAATCAAAAAATTGTACTTAGCATTAGTGGATCGACAAGTGTATAAGCGTATTAATTAACTTATGCTGTAAAATGTTTAAACTGTAATTTATATCTTTCTAATAATGTGTTTCAAACTATAATATCTCAAATGGCTTTGGTTAACTATTCGTGAAAAAAAATATAAGGTAATGCAGTGACATCATTTATTCTTCTTCTCTATACATTTTCTTTTGTTAACTGCGACCGTGAATAAGCTGATATTTTTAATGTTGGTTACAGTCTATTTACCGATAACTGGCTCATGTTTCTAAGGAAAAGATATAAACAAGGTCTTGTCTTCGCTAAGCCATGCCTCAACTTTTTCCATATCATACTTTTCTAAAATGTCACGGGCGACGGTCATAGTTTCGTATGAGATAATTCCATCCTCTTATAGTTGCCCTGTTACTGTAATGGAGTTATGACAGACCTAAAAACTACACAGATATCTTAGTTAACATATTTTTTTACACTAAAACGAGCTATATACATATAAATTAAACGGTGCTGGGGGCTCTGCCCGCTTCTCGAACCAAATCCCTCACAGTTAAAAACAAATATTTAATTACTCGATTTTGAAAAAACAATTGAATAATTTGCAACTATAAAATATATTGTTTTTATTTTCAGTAAAAGTGTAAACTTCTGATTATTTGATCACATTTTCAAACATATGCGCACTCAAGACTTGTCTCGATCAACATTACACTAATCAACACATACGTTTTAAAACTTAATTTATGTGTTTAACACGAGTGGATTAAACATTTTAAAAGTAAAACTAGAAAAAGACGTAGACAAAGAACTTTTACACTTACGGTGGCGCTAATTGAATCTAGGGAATATTGTGCACAATCCATCATCCTCTTATAGACGTGCTATAAATACACCACTATCATTAATTTGTAAGAAAAACACAAAAAAATATTTTTGTTCACAATTGCTCATGGCTTTACCTTATTATTGTCCGATGAGAAGTGAGAATCACTACCACGTATCTTTGTAAGGGCTAACTGTCTTTCCTCTGTATTTGTGTTGCTCGAAGACACAGTCTGACGACCCGACAAGTCAGAATGTTGAGGCATACTTGGAAGTCCTAAATCATCGCCTTCATCAATTTTTACATCCGCATTTTTGTCAGCCATTTTCATTAAAATACTAGTATATCGTGGTTTTCTCGACTGTTAAAAAAAGCGTGGATTGTGGTTAAAGTGACTTTATGCGGAACCCCTTTTTACTCATAGGTAAAGCGAGTGTATTTCGGTCTTGTGGCAGAGAATAGAATGAAAGTCTTTGTATAAGCCGATAACTTCAGCCACGATTCTACGTTTGCCCCCAGAATGAATGATATGCATAACCGATGTAGGATATAGTATGTTTTATATCCGCTAGGTGCATGAGGTTGGAGGGGAGGGCTGGCGCCACTAGTCACTTTAACATATCTTTAAAATTGTGTCTTAGGCCGCAGTCACATGGAGAGCGTAACGCGTACCGCGTAACCATTTGAGCCCACAAGAGTGAGAGAGAGGTAAAATGCGCGCTCCTCTCTCTCACTCTCATGGGCTCAAATGGTTACGCGGTACGCGTTACGCTCTAAATGTGCCCGCGGCCTTACAGGCTGTAAAGGTTAATTCGCCAATGACAGACACTTGAATTGTTTTCTTTTATAAGGTATGTAACACATGAGATTTGGAGTCAAAGAAGCAGTACCTGTTGTACGTACGCTGTAAAATCCAAGTGTGTTAAAGAGCTGATGCAACCTCCCCACCGTTGACAACGTGAGAGAGAGACAGATACCCACGTTCGACGTTGTGTCTCTTTCTACTCATGCTTCGGCGCCGTACATAAGAACGAGCACTATAGCTGGGTCTGTACCATATAACTATTTTACTGTACATCGGCCTTTGTTATAACATAGGCCTGTGAAGCAAAAAAAAGTTATATGGTACGGCCCCAGTCGAGCAGTCGCAGTCTACATTTCTTATATATGTCTATGATTATCGCATATTCCAAAGTATCGAGTATCGACTTTGGAATACTTTTCTTGAAGTATCGATTACTTTTTGAGTATCTGGATTGGAGGCTCGTGGAACGGGTGGAAGAGGATAATACTTAGTGACAGAGGTAAACTTCAAATAAGCGTGCTCAAGTTTCAGAGCGTTTTATTGCGCTTTGAAAAAGTAGCGTTTTCATTTAAAATTCCTAACCTTATATCCACGTAATTACGTGGATTTGGTGCGAATAGACACAGCGAATTTAAAATGGATGACGAAGCGGAGACGTACAAACTCTGGCGCATCCGCAAGACGGTAATGCAGTTGTGCCACGACAGAGGTTATCTCGTCACCCAGGATGAGTTGGATCAAACCTTGGAACAATTCAAGGAACAGTTTGGGGACAAGCCGAGCGAGAAAAGACCCTCGCGTAGTGACCTCATCGTTCTCGTAGCCCACAACGACGATCCTACGGATCAGTTGTTTGTTTTCTTTCCTGACGAGCCTAAGATCGGCATCAAGACCATCAAAACCTACTGTCAGCGCATGCAAGAGGAAAAGATACACAGGCAAGTGAACTTCTTTTTCACTAGGTTTAATGCAAACTTGTAATTGAGTACTGGGAATTTATATTGTTTTTCAGGGCTATCATTGTTGTTCAAACGGGAATGACTCCATCGGCCAAGCAATCGCTGGTTGACATGGCACCAAAATACATTCTGGAACAGTTTCTAGAGTCGGAGCTGTTGATCAATATAACAGAGCACGAGTTAGTGCCTGAGCACATTGTCTTGACTCCAGATGAGAAGGAAGAGCTGCTCAGCAGGTATAAATTGAAAGAAAACCAGCTCATGCGAATCCAAGTCCAAGATCCTGTGGCCAGGTACTTTGGACTGAAGAGAGGACAGGTCATAAAAATCATTCGTTCATCTGAAACTGCTGGTCGCTACATTTCTTACAGGCTAGTGTGTTGAATTATGATTTATTATTTATATTCATAATCACAACTTGTACATAAATTTTATTTTTACTCAAGTACTGCATAAGAGTAAGGATTATTTTTAAGGATGATATTTAATAAAGAAGATATTGATAATGCGTTGAAATAACACTTTATTAACCTGTGATGTTTATGTTCCACGATGCATAATTTTTTTACGAGATATTTTACATTCTTCCAAAAGATATTGATTATCAACTACTTATGATAACCTATATGTTCAAAAGATGACAAAAATGAAAGATTCTCATGCAAGCCGCTACATAAATACATTTCACCTTAAACTGTACAACGGCCTTATTTGTATTTTTCTCTTGGTCCGAGAATTTCATCAAATTTCAATTCCAGTTTGAAAAAATCATCACTACATTGTAATTATGACGTATAATAATAGATTTATAGTAAACTATCGAAGATTAAGAAATAGTGTAAAAAAGGTCTGAAGCTATTTATGCTCAAGTTACACTGAATTGCTTGACATGATGACAAGTAAGGCTGCTTAGCTAAACGTTTATTGCACACTTATAATAAATCACAAAAAAACTTATGATATACTATCGCAGCGTTTCTTATTTTTTCATTCGGTCTCAGTTGGAAGTTGACAAACTACTCTAGGACGATTTGATTCCTGTTTTGGTGTGTATACATCGTTAAAGAAATTTGCAAATCGAGTCTCCAAAAAGCAAATATCAAATATTAAAAAATTCTATTTAAAATCGGTACGCATAAAGTTTTTTTTTATTTTACAGTTTTTCAAGAGTCTATTAATTACAAGTCGAATCAAAGTCTCATCCAAATGCTCAAACTTTCGTTTCTTTTCATTTTCCTATTTTTTTTTTTTTTTTTTTTTTTTTTTATGAATAAAACTTGCACTGAACTTTTGTAAAAATTACGCTAAATTAATTTATTTTGACTTAAATTAAGAAGCAATCGTTTAAAATACTATTTCTCTCAACCTAAAGCATATTTTTACTTTTCTAATATTTCATGAACAATATTTCATGTTTTTTGTATAAATTTTTATTTCAATCATGACTTAAAAATAAACGTTTCCGCTTCCTACGTCTAAGTACATTTTCCATGCAAAACTTTGACTTAATTTTATAATTTATTTAATAATAAAAAGATAACTTCAATTTAAATTTAATTCAAAATCAAATTAANGAGAGAAGAAAGAAAACAAAAGAACATTCGTACGATTAATATAATATATTGGTATTAATAAAATGTAACATAACGCAATAATAATTAATTATTAATAATTACATGGTGAGGGGAGGGGGGGTAAGGCTTGGCTTGGAAAGGGGAAAAAAGACATAGCTAGACAATGATTGCATGGCAAAATGTTCGAGAGTACAAGAGTAAAAAGTGTAGGTATGTATATGTGTATTCATTATAAATCGCAGTATAATTATAAATAAGTAAGAAAAATTTACATTAAAATATAGCCTTGACCACACAATGGTGATGTATGTGATGTCAGTTTGCGAAAAATAATAGAACAGCAGAGAATCAATTCGTGCGCGTGTGTCTCTCGTTATTGGCTAATGTACATACACACATTGATCATCGTTCTTTAGCGCTTTTTCATTAACTTACATACAAAAAGATTCTTTTATTTTTTTTTTTTTTTTTAATAACACTACAAGAGCTGTAAATGTTGGCATAACGAATTTCCAGTGTTCGGTACTTATAATCTCCAATGTACGATTATATTGCTTGCACACCATGATATTATTTCGTTAAGATATTAAGCATCGATCGGTAAAAATTATTCGCAAGATTAAATCAAAATATACAATCTCGGGTTTTATTTGTATAGATTAAATGTTTATTATGTTTGCTTGCTTTCTACGAATAAAAATACACACAGCGACGCATACAATGATTTAAAATCGCTTTATCGTATCAGGACAGAAAAATAAAAGAACTCTTGGACAAACAATCCAAATACTGAACCAAAATTATATTAAACTGTATGAAAGAGACATGAAAGTTTGAATCTGCGTAAAGAATAAGAGAAGCCTTTATCAATTGTCGGTTGAGATCTGTGGTATATCATGAATATTTCGCGTATTGTCAAGCTCACTTTGCGATTCAACTGAAAAGCAAAAAGTAAATTTTAAAAAAGGCAGAGAAAAATAGATTTAAGCATTGAAAACTTACTCATCGCTGCAAGTTTTTTTGTGCACAGATTAAACCGTAAAGTGCGCTTAGCATTGTGTCATTCGTCTCCTTTGAAACATGCAAGAAAAAATATTTTACAGCCACGTCATTTCTTTCCTCCTGTTCATTCTTTCGTTAATATATAGATATATAGATTTTTGTATATTTATATGTCGTTAATAATAAATGAGCATGATCGCGAACTTCAGTATGATTTTTTTTTTTTTTTTTTTATTTCCAACAGGCTAATATGCCAGCCCACGTGTTCTTATACATATGTAATAATCGTTACTTATTTTCATCCTTAAAAAATACATCCTAACGCTCCAGCATATAAAGTATTTTCTCGACTCTCCACAAAAAAAGCAACATCTTCATTATTTCCTTCCTTCATCGCCCAGAGGAGTTTCACACGTATACACTCCCTCTTGTCTTAATTAATCATAGCATCGATTGTACAACTCATTCACGCACGTTTTATACCAATATAAAATTACCGGTATCTCGTAAATACATTGTGATTTATTTTATCCGTGTCCATTAACATGTTTGTTTGTCCAAAGTGACTTGCATTCTTGTACAAAATCAATCAATCAGTTTGGATGATTCCATTGTTATTGTTTATGCTGCGAGTGTTTTACAATTTCAATACAAGTTCACAAATGACTGATCAACATAATTAGTCGGCGTACTTACATTCTAATACTACTAAAAAACACCAGCTGCTTAATACTTGGAAAGTCTCTTAGACATAACTCTCTCTACACAGAAATAAAAGGTATTCTACAATAATAAGCATAACCAAAAAATTGTTCAATCGATGCTCGGTCGTCATCAAGTTTCCAGCAGAAGAGGCAAATAAATTTCCTCTGCCGTCGTATACAAAAGCCAACGTTTTGTAACGTGCGGCGCGCACAAGTTTTCCCAATAATCGTACGGGATACCACATTTACAACGAACTTGCCCACTCCGGTCCAACATTTCTCTCAATTGGTGTACACGCATACCACGCCAGAAGCATAGACATCAGCATAAGCGTTCCAAAGCGCCGTTTGTCATTTCCGGGTATGCGTGTGTCTGTTTGTGAATGTTAACGACGACGTGTGAAGAAAAAAATGGCCCAAGTGCGGCTCGATCCGTACACGATAAAATATACATAGAAAGCACCGTACGATTGGGAGAAAATAAAAAAAAAACATCCACACGGTGAGTACAGTATCACGCTCGTATCACAAAAAATCTAAAAAGACTTTGTCGATTTTTCCAAAGTGGCTGATCGAGCCGCACTCGTTTTCGAAGAGTCCAACGCAGTACATCCATTTGATTTCCAAATCAATTCTCAAACTCGGTATAGGCCGTTTAATATTTCTTTTTCTTTTTCCTTTAAAATTAGACGAGCGAGCCTTTGAAGACGAAGCTGCGAGAAGCTATACGATTTTTATAATTTTCTTTTTTTTTTTTTTTCCTCATTTTTTTCATGATTTTCACGAAGCTCCTGTAATTTCAAATGACTCGGCCAACCAGCCATCTTCAAGACCGTCGGCGAGTCTCGTTCTCTGAATCATGGCGAGCGGCCCACCGTGACGCCTTTCGCTCGAGATCTGCACAAAAGTTGACAAAAAATATTAATTTACATTTCCTAATTCGTTGAAGAAGCTGAAACCGGCAGCGACACTACCATATACCAAAGAGTAGGACAGAGACCTTCAAGGGACATACAAATATTCTTTTAAAAAATCCAAAGTCAGTAAAAAAATACAAGTATTGCAATTACTTTGAAAAGTAGTGAATGCCCCAATAACTGGATTAGACTTTTTTACCATCTGCACATGCACAAAAAACAACCCATCACTTTTTTATCGACCTATGTAAAATCTCAGTCGTCCACATACTTACTATTTTTACAATATTACTATATTTCTTAGAAAAAATATTTCATACGTAAACTTGATTGTTTAAGGTTTATCGTGTATATATCCGCAGTAATAGTCACTTTCTTTACTGTAAATGAATTTACCATATTTTATCAACATTATCTCCGGACTTTATGGACTTTTGTATCCAAGTTCCTAAATTCCGAAGCTACCGAAAGTACAATTAGGTATCTGATGGTACTGCTGCTAGATTCAGCTTAATAATTTTTTAACCACGAATTTACGTAGAACAAAAAGTACCTAGGAGTGATAGGGGGTGACGTAGGTCGAGGGAAACAGTCCCTTCCTGGGACCGATTTCACCGTGCCACCAGTGCTGGTCCGTGCGTTCCGTCACGGTGATGACGTCGCCTCGCCTGAATTCGAGCTCACCCTGCTCCTGTGGCTTGAAGTCGTACAGGGCCTGGACCAAACACTGCAAAAGTAAAGATAAAAAAAAAATTTTTTTTATATTTCGTCAATAAACTTTTGGAAAAAACCCTACATTTTGGGTAAAGAAAAAAAAAAGAAAAAACTTTTCGCAAAAACACGTAACAGCAAATCAAGCGGCTTTGTTTCTCATGTACCAGTGGTTTATCAAAAAACATACGTATACGTAACAACGTCGACAGCACTCAAGGCCGCGAATACTTTCGTAATTGCGCAGCGCTCGCTCGTGTGTTTACATCGAGTTCTCTTTGCGTGTATCTTTGTTTTTTATTTTTCAGCGACTTTTTTTTTTCTCTTCGCATGTTGCAAAAGTCGCTGCTGATGTGGTTTTTTTTTTAATTTCAAAAATTCGAGTGAAAAAGTAAAAACTATTTACTACCTGGATATTTCGTAGGAGTAATCGAAGAGATATGATTATATCTTTTCCAAAACGCGTTTTTTTTTTCTTTTTAATTAATTAATAAATTATGTGACTCCATGTTTCCCAAAATTGTCAGCTAATGGTCGTTGGATTGTTTAATGATGGACACGTAAAGTATTTCTTTGTTGTCATGAACACTCGTAAAAAAACGATTGATACCGATCTTAGTGCTAATTGGCCAAGAAATTTGACTTTGTATATACCCTCGAAAAAACTTTATCAAAACGAAATGCTCGAATTTTTTTTAATTGTCCTGATAAAAATAACTTGTTTCAAGTGATTCTGAGCAATATTTAAATTCCTCTTTAACAAAGTAAACTTGGTACGCATGTAATTGGTATGAAAAGCAAATCGACATTGCCATTGCACCACAAATAACAGCATTATTGAGCAATTGAGTTTAAACAACTGAGTATTAAACCACCACGATCAAACAAAAAAAAAACAATTTATGAACACAAATCTTACAAACAAGCGTGCTAAATCTGCGACGGAAATATTTTTCACTCTACTTTTTTTAGAGAAAATCGTTCAGTGCCCATGTGGCTGTTTCCGTGCATTTTATAAAACATGGAGATTCCGTTTCAACTACACGCTCTAAGGTACTTTTTTCATGTTATCGCTAATCATGTTTATGGTGATTGTGTGGAGCGTAGAAACTAGGTGGTGGGAGTTTCCGCTGTGGATGGTAAGAATTATCAAAACTGTTTTGATAAAACATGGTTGTCACATTGAGACGAGCAATAGCGTGGAAAAGGGACCTTTGAATGTGTAACTTCTTACGGTATGTGTACGGACTTGGGGCACTATTATTTTACGGGTTTTTAAATGCTTTAAAAGTATTGAGAAATTTTTATTTCCTAACAGAAAAATGCAATGCATTTTAGATATTTGTAGGTGAAATTTTTTTCGCATAAACTATTTTTTCTTTCAATTTTTACTCCATTATTATTCCTTCAAAAAATGTGTTACATATTGTGTTATAAGCAGTAAATAATACGAAAAATTTCACAGACTTCTAACCAAAAAGATTCAGTATCACGTGACTGGAAATTTTTTAATTGTTTTGTGTGATTGGTTGGGACATATAGAAAGTGGTTTGTTTAATGGATTTTTTTTACAAAAATCAATAACATTAGATTGTATTGGAATGACTGAAATAAAGTGAGTATACAATATAAATATGATCTGGAGTGCTACTATTGGGTTTGTTAGTCGTCTTCAAAGAAACAATTGAGTAAAAAGCAGTTTTGTCAATTAAAGTTGATACATAGTCAAATTACATGTAATCTATAATTTTAATTTCAGAATAACATTCCCACGTTCCCTGAGTTCTTCTGGAAACAATTTTTCTTCAATCATTATATGTTTATTTGGTCAAATGCGACGTTTAAAAAAAGAGTCGACAATTGCATGCATTTCATTCGTTTATATAGTTTAAACGAGCAAAAAAGTGTAAGCAAAATTTCTATCTCCCTACGCGTAGTGCAGTGTGCAAGTGGGGTAGTAAAACATATTCCCAATAATAATTAGATAACATCGCATAAATTAATGGAAACCCATTATATTTTTTGGAATGTACTTGGACTGTACACACGAAAGGAAGATGAGAAAAAAAAAAAAAAAATTGTAATTCACCTCCTCGGCCACCATATCGCGTAGTTTGACGTCCTGGGAGCGGGACACCGAAGCCGTCCTGTGGTACTCGACGAGCTCGTTGAGACTACTGAACTTGACCACCCACAGGAAGAACTTTCCCTGGGCGTCCCGAAGGACTTTGAAGTGCTGCACGCCGTCCGAGCACCTGGAAAACACAAACAAATGCGACCCTCGCACATTAGCGTATGCAAATAATTGGGATATTGGATTAGTTTCGCAAAACAACTCACTTGACGGACAGGGAAAAATCGCCGGGGGAACTTTCGCTGATCCTGATGAGGAAGGCACCCTCGTGTTTGTTCGAAAGAAGCTTCTCGGCGTCCGCTCGGGTTATTCTGCCGTAGTACCAACTGCAAATCGAAGGACAACGAAAAACATTACGTCAATCCCGCAAAACACGTGACTTTTTTTCTTTAACCGAATCATCATGTTGATTTCGATACTAATTTCTACTGGTTTTATTGGTCCAACTTGAATTTAATTTTTTTATTTTTACAGTAATTTTTCTCTTGTCAGCGTTGATTCGACTAACAGTGAGTAGTCACTGGTTCAGGTTTACAGTATGTATATATACATCAAAGGGTGTATGCACAAGACTTTTTTGACACACTCAAAATAACACTCGTACCATCAAGGTAAGTTGAGAAACATTCACAATTTTTGTATTTTATTACAAAATGTAAAAAATTTGAAAAAAATTTCAATATTTATTAAAATTATTGTCACAAGCTGAGCTAAAAATAAAACAATCTTTTAATTAAATTTACTCTCAACTTTTTATTATTGAACGTTTCAAACGAAATACGTATGTGAGACTTCGTGTAATCATAAAAAGCGAAGGCACATCTCCAGTTTGTGAAATAGAATGACAATACTCACTCGTGGCTCTTCATTTCGATGTAGTTGCTGGGGATGAGTCCCTCCCGGGAGTCGAGCTCGGCTCGGTACCAGTTCATGTCATCCTCCATGTTGAGGATCTGCAACGAAATATTCGACAAATTTTTATTTTTTTACCAAAAAAAAAAATTCAGGGTTTGGCACACACTTTGGCTTCTGATACTGTATAACATCGCGATCTTCAATTACACGCAACGGCGATGAGCATCGACACTCAGATATTCGATGTATAGTTTCCAAACAGATACGTGCATTTATTCAAGCGACGCAAATATTTTATGTGAGCTTTTTTTGTTACTGGTTTTATTAGACCATACTGTAAAATTTGTTAAAATGAAAGAACTAATAGATTTTCTTACAGTACAAACTATTGGAAAATCGGCAAAACGAGAATTTAATTTTTAATCCCACACTATCTTGTGTCTGACGTATCTCTGTATAGTATTAGTACATATCATGATAATTTAGGGGAACGATTTCGCAATAAATACCCAAACGTGGTGGTCGTTCAAAAGAAAGGCTAATTACGGATGGGGAGGGAGAGAATCAAATAACGTCTAGACTGGTTTCGCGGAAAGGCCCTGTGACGTGAAGGAGATGGCACTGTCTGTTTGGCGAGAGAAAAGAGGGACGGGCGTCGATGAAAATCCGTGAAAATCGGTATACTCGTGGTGCGTGGAAAACAAAGGAAAACAACACTAAAGCCCGTGTGGACTACCGTTAAAAGTTTAAGAAATACAATCATAACTTGGTACTGTTATTTGCTTTTTGTGACTTTGACAGCTATTGGACAACTTTAGTGTTTTTTCCTCAGACACAAAAAAACTAAAGTTAAGTTAAGTAACAAACTCAATTTAATATCTGTTTGATAATATAAATAATCACAAATAATACACAGATTAGGAATTGAATTTAAGTAAATCTTTACTAGATGAAACAAGTAATTTAATTAAAAAATAAAACATTGATTTATTTTACCAAGTTTACATAGCCAAAATACGAATATGTGTGACAATAAACTAAGAGTATATTGAGACGCAAATAGTTATATTTTTCTTGGATATTGAGCTGCACTATTTAAGAGCCATTTTCGCACTATTTACTATTACTATTTACTGGCATCCCAGTGTTTTATCGGTATCCCAAGTAATGAAACCTTGTTTTTATCTCAATTAAAAAAGATAAAGTAACATATTGTTTCTAATTTTTTGAGAGGAATTCACAAAGAACAATATGATGGTTAAAGCAGTTTTTTTTTTTAATTATAACATTTGTGATGATTAAGTAACGGTACCTCTACATATACAGCTAGGAACCACGAGTCTACCGATCCTCTATTTGTTTTTAAATGACTTATAAAAAAACATACTTAGATAATTCAGACTTTTTCGAATTTTTTAAACAGTTTTTTTAAATTTATTACTAATTAAAATAATCATGTTTTATTTTATTTAACAATCAGCTAAATTATTTATTATGATTTACGACCAATGTATTTTTTTTAAACATTGATTTTATCACTCTATGTAAAAAGAAAACACTTATATAACTTTTATATATTACTCCATTCGATTGTCAGTAAGTCTGAAACACAAATGATTTGTTTTTTGTTAAATTTTTGTTATCAGTCAACAGAATAAGATAAAAAATTCGTATTAGAAAAAAAATGATTGCAATTTAGGATTCTTCAGTTATTATTCGGAAAACGATAATGTCAGGTGTGACTAATTTATGAAAGCTCGGAATTCTGAAATGACATATATTTAAGGCTATACATACAGTTTTAAAAATTATAATCAATTATAAATTAGATGCATCTGACATAGCTTTGGAGTTCAAATGATTTTGTTAGTGTAAATTCATTAAGGGGGCTCCTACGACTACTGCTGAGGTCAAAGACAAACAAAAAATAAAGTTTTGTTTTTCAATTAACAAATGTGTCTGAAAATCATTATGATATTTTTAATAACGTATGAAGGTGTGTAGTTTAACTTTGTACGAAAAATTAATTATTTTTTTGACCAGTTTAGTGCATACGAGGGTACACCACCAGACCAGACCACCTGTGTTGGTGTAGTATAGCGATGTAATATATAGGTATATGGTATATACATGTCGTGAACAAGTACGTCTGCTACTGACCTCCCGGACACTATTTATTTATTTCCATCACAAATATCTCGCTAAAATACTCCTTCAACCACAATTTTTAATACAGCATATTACAGAGGAAGACTTCATCTACAAAACGTATATATTCAGTCTGCTGGGACATTTAATTTAGGTTTATTATAAACAAAAACAAATTATTTTTCACGCTGCCCCATAGGAACACGTGCTAATAGTTACAACTTTGAGCTCGGATTTCTCAAAATTTTGACCCATTCGAAATATAATTTAGACCACCATTAAATTCAGTAGACTTTTATTTACAAGAAATAATATATCTCTGTTTAGGGACTTTCGTGAAGGAGCCCCCTTAACTAAATAACTTGACTCAGTGATAAATTCAGGATTAAAATTTTTCTGAAAATAAATACACAGTTCAGAAAGTTTTTTCGTAACTTTTTTTTGCACTACTACATATAATTTTTATACTGTCAAAATCTTCGTTTATCGAAAGTAATATTTAAAAAACGTTATACTTTTTGCTAAAAAGCGAAGGCACATCTCCAGTTTGTGAAATAGAATGACAATACTCACTCGTGGCTCTTCATTTCGATGTAGTTGCTGGGGATGAGTCCCTCCCGGGAGTCGAGCTCGGCTCGGTACCAGTTCATGTCATCCTCCATGTTGAGGATCTGCAACGAAATATTCGACAAATTTTTATTTTTTTACCAAAAAAAAAAATTCAGGGTTTGGCACACACTTTGGCTTCTGATACTGTATAACATCGCGATCTTCAATTACACGCAACGGCGATGAGCATCGACACTCAGATATTCGATGTATAGTTTCCAAACAGATACGTGCATTTATTCAAGCGACGCAAATATTTTATGTGAGCTTTTTTTGTTACTGGTTTTATTAGACCATACTGTAAAATTTGTTAAAATGAAAGAACTAATAGATTTTCTTACAGTACAAACTATTGGAAAATCGGCAAAACGAGAATTTAATTTTTAATCCCACACTATCTTGTGTCTGACGTATCTCTGTATAGTATTAGTACATATCATGATAATTTAGGGGAACGATTTCGCAATAAATACCCAAACGTGGTGGTCGTTCAAAAGAAAGGCTAATTACGGATGGGGAGGGAGAGAATCAAATAACGTCTAGACTGGTTTCGCGGAAAGGCCCTGTGACGTGAAGGAGATGGCACTGTCTGTTTGGCGAGAGAAAAGAGGGACGGGCGTCGATGAAAATCCGTGAAAATCGGTATACTCGTGGTGCGTGGAAAACAAAGGAAAACAACACTAAAGCCCGTGTGGACTACCGTTAAAAGTTTAAGAAATACAATCATAACTTGGTACTGTTATTTGCTTTTTGTGACTTTGACAGCTATTGGACAACTTTAGTGTTTTTTCCTCAGACACAAAAAAACTAAAGTTAAGTTAAGTAACAAACTCAATTTAATATCTGTTTGATAATATAAATAATCACAAATAATACACAGATTAGGAATTGAATTTAAGTAAATCTTTACTAGATGAAACAAGTAATTTAATTAAAAAATAAAACATTGATTTATTTTACCAAGTTTACATAGCCAAAATACGAATATGTGTGACAATAAACTAAGAGTATATTGAGACGCAAATAGTTATATTTTTCTTGGATATTGAGCTGCACTATTTAAGAGCCATTTTCGCACTATTTACTATTACTATTTACTGGCATCCCAGTGTTTTATCGGTATCCCAAGTAATGAAACCTTGTTTTTATCTCAATTAAAAAAGATAAAGTAACATATTGTTTCTAATTTTTTGAGAGGAATTCACAAAGAACAATATGATGGTTAAAGCAGTTTTTTTTTTTAATTATAACATTTGTGATGATTAAGTAACGGTACCTCTACATATACAGCTAGGAACCACGAGTCTACCGATCCTCTATTTGTTTTTAAATGACTTATAAAAAAACATACTTAGATAATTCAGACTTTTTCGAATTTTTTAAACAGTTTTTTTAAATTTATTACTAATTAAAATAATCATGTTTTATTTTATTTAACAATCAGCTAAATTATTTATTATGATTTACGACCAATGTATTTTTTTTAAACATTGATTTTAT